TAAGAGCAAGGGAGGTTGAGGATCAGAAGCCAGAAACTTTTCAATTCTTTGACAACTTTGAAAAGGATAGGGCCTCAATTCTTGGGCTGCATTACTGTTAGAAAAAAATTCTATAAGCAACAAAATTTTGGCAGCAAAGGAATCTGAGATAGGAAACTGAAGTCAGTGCACTACCATGAACTAAAGAACTAGTTAATTTGTACTAATTTAAAAAGAGAAAGAAGGATTAATTGAATGGAAAAGTACTGAGCATGTTTTGTAGTACATGATCAGCGGCCATTAGGACACACACATGCCCACACAGAGTGGAACAGATCAAATCTTAGGACAAGGGGGAATGCCCTTAAGATGAAAGAAAGCAGATTTAGATTAGATATCAGGACAAAATTCTTTACTGTGGGGTTGGTGAGGCTCTGGAACAGGTTGCCCAGAGAGTTTTGCCCCATACCTGGAAGTGTTCAGGACCAGACTGGATGGGGCCCTGAGTGCTCTGGTCTAGTGGAAGGTTCCCAGCACATGGCAGGAGAGTTGGAACTAGGTGATCTTTCAAGTCTCTTCCAACCGAGACCATTCTATGATTCTATGACTCCGTGAACTCTCAGCTATTCAGCAATTCTAAGGCAGCAAGGTGTGATGGTACAACCTGAAGAAAGCAAGGACACATGGAATACAAAACATCTATAATAGGAGTATAGAAATATTTTGGGTTTAATGTGCGTAAATTTGCAAAGTAATTTGATGGTATTTCATTTTCCATAGTAAATGAAAAAGACAGATTTTCCTTCTTAGAACTGGCTAGTTAACTACCCAGGTTGATTTGCCTGATTAGTCTTGACTAGAATCTGCCTCACCAAGGCTACTTAATTTCATCATAAAGCATGACAGCTTCTACCTTTCTAATTCTATGCTTCTACTGTGTATTTTCTTATAAGTTAAGCAAATATTTGTCACTTAATCCACAGACTGCATTAAAGAATCACACAGATTTATCTATGGCTCATATAGACTGTAGTTTGGACAGTAAAACTCTCGTGTAGCTGGTTGCTGTGGGACATTTGGACTGGGTCACAGGACATTCCCTATACAGAAATGAGACATGTAGTGGACCCACAGTGTTAAAAGAGCAGCTGTAAATAATGGCAAGGGACAATTAGTGCCTTGGCTTGTGTGACTGTACCAGAGCTCGCCCATCAGAGCCTGCTTCAGAGCCATGCTTGGTTTTCCAGACCTGTTTCCTTCCTGCTCACTAAAATACATTTTCAGCCAAAAACTGCTAATAAATGTAATGCCTTAAAATAGTAGTATAATGTACCCTAAATGCTTGTAAGCTGTGCAGGCCCAGGCACAGTGCTACTACTCAGGCTGCTGTTCTGCTAAGTATTAGTACTATTAATGATTTATGTAGTGCCACTGAGCTCTGTGACGCTTCCTAAACTTCTAAGAAGGCTGGTTCAACCCTAAAGTCAGAAAAACTTCCTCAGTTTCACAAAATGAGGCAATGGGCCTCTGGGGAAGGTCAGTCCACCTGGAGGGTCGGTGCAGATCTGCTTGCAGACAGGACCTCCAACATGTTAAGCATTAATTTCACCCAGCATGAGACAAAAGGCATTACAAGAATTTTCCTAGAATAAAAAGACTTATTATCCATGTGATTTTCTGAACTGGAGAAATGCAGCTTACATCTCTTTCAGCTGAAGAAGCAAGTCCAGTTCTTATAAACAGAAAACCAGTACAGAGGTGCTCTTTTCCATTGCAACCATGAATGTACAAGATACTGCAGTATTAATATGAAGAGGGAGTTGAGCTTTAGAAGACTAATGGAAGGAATTTAGGACAGGATGGGCCTTGGATGTAACAGCTGGAAGGAGCATGACTTGTAGGAAAACAAAACCACTTTTTAGCTATTCTGAACAAAAGAAAAAGTTCCAGAAAAAAAAATTAAAAATAATGTACTGTAAGGACTTACTAACATAACTAAAACAAGATCTGCACAATATGTACTGGTGAAGCCTTTCAGTGTGATTTTACACACTTACACACACTGCATTTATGACTAGTATTATGCATTTTATTGTACCACAGAATTCGATCAGATTACAGCTTTTTCCACCTAGAAAATGTTTGAGAATCATTCATCTGCAAATGAAAGGATAGAAGTTAAATAAGAAAATAAACTATTAAACAAGTCCATTTGTTTTCAGCTGACCTCTTAATTTTAATAAAGAGTATTTCAAAGCAGGAAGATGTTTCAAATAAAAAATGTTATATTTTTTTCTAAAAATGCCCATATTTTAAATTCTCACATTGTTCCCATCCTCCTTGGAAGACATGAAATTTAATGCAAATCAATGCAAAAACAACCATTAAATTGGAATTCTGGGTCCTTTAACAGAAAGCTGTTTTTCTGAATATTTTCCATATAATGCTTTGCAGCTGTTGTGGCCAGACAAGTGTTAATTTAGAGGGCAAGAAAGAGCCGCCCTGGGAGAAGAGAGCTCTGAGTAAATGGGGGCTCTATAAGTCCCCAGCCCCACGGCTCCTCACCCCAGGAGTCCCCTTGGGCTGCCCCAGCTCTCAGAGCTGCCACCAGCTGGGCTCACCCTGGCCACTCCTGCACTCCACTTGGCTGCCAGCACAGCTGCTCCCCACTTCCCAACTAGGGTGGTCTCTCTTCCCTCGCCCACCACTGTGAATATTTACTGGAAACATGTTTTCTTGGAGGAAAGTTAATCCTTTTTCATGCAAAGCTCCCCTCCCTTTTCCCAAGAAGCTTGTTCCTGAAATAGTATTTTATTACAGATAAATAAAACACTACTAAAATTAGGCTCAGAAAGAAAAGTAGCAGGGTTTCTTGGCTTTCCCCTGTGTGGTCATAATCTGTTCCAGAGTGCTGCTTCTGGTCCTTTGCCTCTCTTGGTAAACCAGTGTTTCTTGGAGGCAGCCCATGTCCCTGTCTTTGTCAGGATGTGTCCTTGCAGAAATTTCATGTTGCATCTGTTTTTTTCTGCTGTATTGACAAAGAATCACAGAATCATCAAAAAAGTTTGGGCTGGAAGGGTCCTTAAAGATCATCCAGTTCCAATCCCCCTGCCATGGGCAGAAACAATTTCCATGAGACAAGGCTGCTTAAAACCTCATCCAACCTGTCCTGGAACACTTCCACTGATGGGGCATCTGCTATGACTTTTTCAGGTATGATGAATTCTGGTATCACAGTTTGCTAACCTCTGTCTCCAGCTGCCTCTAAGTAAAAATCAAGGTAACAATACTTGCCAATAATGCGAAGTTACTCTCAATATTTAAAAATTAACTGCTGCTTTAAAGAACTGGAGAGATACTTTCTCAGGCTGCCTGACCAGAAAGCAAAATGGCATGTCTAATTCAATATAGAGGAAATGGTGTTCAAAATGAAACCAAATCCTACTTTCATATATACACTGATAGGTCCTGAGCTTGCTGAGGTTATCTCTCTAGGACTGAAGGGGGTTTTTTTTAATAATTCATATCTTGTTAAAATATCGGTTCACAGATGATTAAAAAAAATCTAGAAATTATTTCAAGGAAATAGAAAACACATGTTAATATTCCTTTGAAGTAAAGTGTGATTTAATTGCATCTTCAATGCACTGGAAATCTGGTATACTTTCTGTTTCATGTGAAAAATGATACCTGAATCCTAGAGAAGAGTTCAGGTGGCAACATGGATAAAGAAAGTATGCAAAGGTATACATCAGATGAGGAATGACTATATTAGGGTTTCCCCAGCCTGGGAAAGAGAGGGCTATGGTGAAGGTATACAAGACCATGAGTTGATGGAGACACCAAGGATCCACTCTTTTTTCTCTTTCCCTTACAGATCTTTGGGAATCAAATGGGATAGTGTCAGGTTCTAATGAAGGTTAAGCACACTTGCTATACAATATTTTGGATGTTAATAAGTCTGCATGGGTTCAAACAAAAGGCATCAGATACAAAGGAAATGCCTGAAATCACACAGGGTGTGAGGACATTGCCAAACTTCCTTTCCCTGTCCCTGTGCTTCCAGCTCTGCTAATGGCTGTAGCTGAGATGTGGCCAGACTAACCTCCAGTCTGATTCTTCCTGGTTTTACATCCTTTTTCGGTTGCTATATTATTATACTATACTGCTGCATAAAAACAAGGGCTCCTCCAGGCCAAGGCAAGCTTTTCATTTAGCAGCACATTTTTCTCTGCAGCAGCAGCAGCAGCTCGGCACTCAGCACAGCACATCTGCTGTGAGCCCAGCAGCCACCTGAACCAGCACTGCCTGCTCTGGAGCCTCTGTGCCATCCTCTCAGCTGCTCAAAGAGCTGAAATGGGAACTGTGAATTTTCAAATCCCTCACCTCCAAAACACCTTTTATTTTTTTTTTTATTTTTTTTTTTGGAGCTTATCAGGCCTTGGCCAGCAAGACCCAAAGCCTCAGTGGTTCAAAGACTAAATAAAGAACAAGGTCCAGCTGCCCTTTCCCTTGGCAAAGACAAACAAATCCTTGACTTAATGTACTTTAAAGTAAAAAAATGTAAGAGTTATAAAATTTCCAACATAACTACTTAAAATAATACCTTGAAAAATTGACACAATTATAGTAGAATTTCCTTCCATAAGAGATCAAACCATATTGTATAGCTAAAAATAAGGCAGGATAAAAATCTGCATATGGTTCTGGGTGGTTTTCTCACATTTTATTCACACTTTGAATCTGGTGCTTCACTGAAGTGATGATGAGGTTTAATCAATGGCTAGCTACAATGCATGTGTGGACAAACACAAACTACTTTTATAAAACCAAATTTCTTCATTGTTTTGCTGTTGATGACTGGAGCAGTTTTCTATTGTGGTCTCTGCTTGACTGTACAGTAAGTGTTATTTTCCTCTATGAAAAGCTGTTTCCGTTCCTCACCACCATCAGAAACTGAAAGCTCTGCAAGCCAGTCTATGCTGTGGGAGCTGCAGGACACTTGTCTCTCTTTTTTCCTTTTCTGACGGAGATTTTGTTCTTCTCAAAGTAAGGAAAGGCAGAAAAATGGATGCGTTACGTAAGGCAGTGGATTTCTGCATCCGCCACCAGAAAGTTCTGGGTTACAGCACCGTGTCCCTGCTGACAGTTGCTATGGAGCACATCTTCTCAGTTGTGGTGTTCAAGTGTCCCTGCAATTCTGGGAACATGCTCTATGGTCTTTCCTTCCTCTTAGCACCTGCCTTCATCCTTTTGCTGCTTGGCTACATGGCGAATGCCAGGACATGGCTTCTGTTGACAGGCGGGTGCTCTCGGGAGAAGCACGTCCAATGCAGCTCTGGGAGAGCCTGTGGCTGCTTGTGCCAGCTGTTGCGGATGACAGCCAAAGCCTCGGTGGCCCCGCTCACCTGGATAGCGGTGGCCCTGCTTGGAGCTAATTTCTACGAGTGCGCGGCCAGCGGGAGCAGCCTGACAGCACACTTCTTCTGTAAAGAGAATAGAACTGTCTGCCAAACCCAGCTGCTCCAAGTGCCTTGTGGCGAGGAATTACCAGCAAATACAACACCTGAAAGGCTCAGCCTCAAGGCACAGTCCCAGGTAAATCCTCACTGTTTTTCTCCTCAAGCTATGTGCTTCAACCCTGGCTGCTCAATGTGTAGTGGCGCCTGCTGGGCACTGTAAACAGTCCTTCTCTCTTATAGTATATAATATCATGTACCAAAAGCACAGATAGCAAAAATTCATTAGCAAAAAAGCAGTAACAGAAAAGCAATATGTGTATTTTTATGATACTTTCTGGTTTTGCATGTTTGCATGGTAATGATTTGGCATTGTCATTTACAAAACCTCATGGGCAGAGAACCCGCCTAGAGAACGAGACTTTGCACAGCAAGTTTTCTTTTCAATTAACTTAGACATGATGCGAGTTCTCCAATTTTATGTCTCTGAATTCCTCAAACTTCTGCAAATAGGCATTAGTTGAGGGGAAGCTGAGGTCATTAACAGGGGGAAGCTGACGTTTCTCCTTGCAACAGAGTGGTTTCAAGGAGACACCAGGAAAGAGAAACAAATACAAATAGCTTGTTTGACCGTAAATCTCAATGCTTGAACATCTTAATAATTTCGCACTTGTATTCTAGGAGAATAATTCAAATATATTATCTCTCTTGTTAAAGTTTCTTGCTCTGAAGGCAAACTGCATGGTCAAAACAGCAACACTCGTGGATTGTTTTTTGTTTGGTTCTTTGGCAGCACTCCAGTTTTGTTCTTACATTTGTATGGATTTTGTCTTAACTTCAGCAGGAAAATTAAGTTTAGCAACTTTTTCTCAGGAAGACATTAAGAGTTGGTTAAGGGAGTTAAGTTTATTAGAGTTTACAATTACACTGATTCTGTAAGTTCCTATTTAGTACAAATGCCTACTAATACAAAAAAGTGATTTCATTTGTTAAATACTTAGCATGTTACTTTTACAAACAAAAGGGTGGAAAGGGGCAAACTCTATACCATTGATTTTAGATAGGGTAAGAAAGGAGCAAAACCAAGGAAGACTGTGTGTTACTGACATTGCAGTGGAATCTAAAAGAAACATCCAGTCAAACAGAAATAAGCGTGAGTGCATTTTTATTACTGACCAGTATTTTTAATATCCGATATACGTTCAACAAAATTAAGAACCAAAAAGAACACAAACTCCTTTTCATTTAGCATTCAATACTTTTTAATTTGAAGAAAAAGTTATCCTGAGGTAAAAGAGCATGTTGCAGGATCTCTGCCTGGAGCTTCCAGCTGATTACCCTTGGGTAGAGGAGGGACCAGCATCTACTAGGACACTTGGTTTTGATGGGACCTCTGAGACTTGTCTAAGGATGTTAAAATCAGGTATAAAACAAGAATGAATTCCCATATTCAATAGCCAAATCTGTGTCCTGCCTACAAAACATACAGGACACAATCTTTCCTCTGTGTCGTGCAAAAACTAGCTGTTTTTGCAGGTTCAGACATCAGGGACAGTAGCTACATTCCATAGCCAGCAGGAGCTCTGATTTGCAGCACAAAGCAGACAGAGTGATTCTGCACCCTCTGTACCATAAATATGACTACAACTGCAGAAACTGATGGTCAGTATCTTGCCTTAAAAGTTAAGAAAGCCAGATATAACTGAGTAAATAACTCCTATCCATCTTCTCTTTTTTTTGGTATTTGTCCTTAATCTGACAAGATCAGCTGAGGGATGCAGAAGCTCTGTGTGTCTGGCTGAATTGCATCCATGGTATCCCCTCTTTTGGCAGCAGGCAGTTATATCCACTCCAGGGTGTCTTTGCTTACAGTTTTCATATTTCTTCAATGTTATGTTCTATACTCCCACATACGACCATGCAAAAACCTCATTAACCTATATATCCTTTTTCCAAGCTGTTTGGATGGTTCTTGATAGCCGCCATCATGACTGTGGCACTGATTTCAACATGTTTCAGCCACTGCTGCTCCCCAGTCAGCTATCTTCAGCTCAAGTTCTGGAAAATTTACACAAAAAAGGAACATGAACTCTTTGAGACCAAAGCCAAAGAACATGCAACCAAGCTAGCAGAAAGAAATACTAATTGCTTTTTTGAAGCCACTGACCCAGAACCATTTCATACTCCCAGCAGAGAAGACTGGCAGAAGATTTCATTCTTGTATACCTTTAATCCCCAAGAGCAGCATTACAGCATGATACACAAATACGCGAGTACCAACAGAGGCAACAGCACTGAATTCAAGGAAGAAGGTCAGGATCACATGATTTTAGAATTTGTGGAGGAAGCCCAGGAAGTGTTGTAATGAAACAAATCCTTTGCAATGCTAGCAGTCTTTTAACCCTACCGATATAAGACGTCTTATTCTCTGCTCTTACTGAAATCTATGCAAACTGAAAGTGAAAGCTGATAAAAAGCTGAAAGTTGTAACCCTCAGTAGATTTGCTTTTAAATACATTTTAATTCTTTCGCTTAAATACATTTAAATGGGAGTTTTCGTATGCTGTTGTCCATTGAAAAGAGTCATATGTAAAATAAGCAGCATCCACAAAGATGTTAGCGTGTATTATGTCAAATTTTTACTGAAACCTTAAATGCACTTGGCAAGTGGAATGACAATACCAAATCATATCAAACAGACAAAAAAAGGAATGGAAGATTTGATCGGAAATTCAGCTTAGTTTATTAGCTCTCTCTTTACAATGAAGCTTTTTAGTGAAGCTTAGAGCAAGCTGTAGATTAAAAAATTTAGCTTGAGGGGTTAGGCTCATGCATAACACGGCAATGTAGGTGAAGCTTATATATTAACAAACATTAAAAGTACATTCATACCATTTAAGGACATTAAAAATCTGCAATTCATATTAGCAAGTAGTAATATTCTTATCAAAGAACATATTATAAGAAATAAAGATACAAGTTTTGCATGAAGAATAATGAAGTTCACTTTTCTTCTGGAAAGCTGTTAAGAGAGCATTTTAGATATGCAAGTCAGATTGTTTGGTCCGGGCTGTCTATTTACTTCTCCTAGAAATTCTTTCTTTCTACACAAACTCAGAAATTATTCAAACAGACAGGAATCCCAATAAGTAATTTATTACATTCTTTTTGCAAGTAAGGAAGAAGGGAAGAGCCTATTTTAAGTAGCTGGATATAATGACTTTGGAAGCTTCTTTCTCACTATAAACTAAAAATATAACATAAAGGCAAAACAAGATTTAATTCTGCATGTAGAAAAGAATTTTTTAAAAAATATTCATCACAGTCACTGACTTGCTCTTTTCCTTCCAAGAAACTTGATGATATAGAGTAACTGCAGGCTGGGGGCTGAACCTCAGAGAGCATCTCTGTAGAGAAGAACCGGAGTTTTTCAGTGGATGACAAGCTGACTATGAGCCAGCACTGCTCTTGTAGCCAAGGGGGCCAGTGGTGTCCTGTGGTGCACTGGGAAGAGTGTGGCCAGCAGGCCAAGGGAAGTGATCCTCCCCCTCTACTCAGCCCTGTTGAGGTCACATCTGAAGTGCTGTGACCAGCTCTGGGCTCCCCAGCACACGAAAGACAAGAACTACTGGAGAGGGCCCAGCAGAAAGGCCACAAAGGTGATTTGGGTCTGGAACATCTCTTAGGACGAGAGACTGCAGGAGCTGGGTCTGTTTAGTCCAGAGAAGAGAGGATTGAGAGAGGATGTCATTAATAGCTCTCAAAGCTGGGTGCCAAGAGGACGGTGCCAGACTCTTTTCAGTGGTGCCCAGGGACAGGAGGAGCAATTGCCACAATCTAAAGCATGAAAAGTTTCACCTCAACATGAGAACTTCTTTACATTGAGGGTGGCAGAGCACTGGCACAGGCTGCCCAGGGAGGTCATGGAGTCTCCCTCTGCAGAGACAATCCAGACCCACCTGGATGTGTTCCTGCACCACCTGCTCAAGGTGACCCTGACAGTGGAGGCACAGCTGACACCAGCACCAGTCACTTTTTATCTTAGAAACTCTTCATGTCTTCTCTCTGTGGACTTCTCACAGGCATCTCCACACAGGATTGACTGCTTCTCTCTTCCTTCTTTCTTCTGTATGACTGGCTAACTCCACCCTGCCCCTTCCACAACTGCCTAACCCTGTCTGTCCCTTCCACAACCACACGACCCTTCCTCTTCACAGCACAGCCAGCAGACTCCAACTTTACCTCCAAGGGCAGCCTCAGGAAAAACCTCTCCACTACCTAATCCACTCTTTTATAACACTGTGATAGGTTGACTTAGGAAGAAGAAACTCAGAAGAGATTCTTCCTAAGGGAATTTCCTCTGTGGGGGTTGGGATACCTGCAACAGCCAATTAGAGAAAGTTAGTTCGCTCCGTGCACACACATTTTGAGGAAGGTAATCCGGAACTGAGCCTCTTTGTCTTTCCGGCGGCTGAGCAGGTAACATCAACCCGACCTTCCCCCTCCCCCATGCGGGGGGGGAGGCTCGGGAGGCCGCTTGGGCCCCGTTTGCCAACGAGGGGGACCCGATGGCCGGAGGGAGAAAAAGTTGTGTGATAAAACCTTCACGGCTTCCTCCTCCACGGGCCTGCGGCTCTGGCGTGGGGGGAGGCCGACTCTTGCTGCTGCCGGCCGGGCCGGGCCTGCCCGGGTGGCCATGGGCAGTGTGGGGCTGCAGCCCAGCCCCAGAAAGGCTGAGTGACACCTCAGCTGCACCCCCAGCACAGCCTGAGCCTGGCCCAACTCTTGTAGTTGTGTTAAACCTTAACTCTTTAGTGCTCAGATAAGATTTGCAAAGCCTCCAGCCTTTCCTTTGAATATGAAAGGGGATGAGAAGATTTCTGAAGTCAGTGATGTAAGAGCTAAGTTTTTAAGATGGAAGGAGAATGAGAAGATGCTGAAATGGCTGAAAATCTTTTTGTGAAATTGTAGGAATGAACTGATGTACTGAATATTCCTATAAACCATGGAAAAAGACATGGGGGGGATGGAAATGTTCCATTTAATAGATGATTTGACTAAAAAGCACCTGTGTTGAGAATTTTCTGCCCTGAGAAAAGAAGGGGATTTTGGTTTTCTGAAGATGAAGCCTGAGCAGAGAAAAAGGAGACAGAGAGAATCTTTGCTGTCGAACATTTCATTCTTAAAAGTAATACCCCATGGAGCAGACATGGCCCACATCTACAACTTTGGGACGGCTGTAGAGTTGGGAGGAGCATCACGGTTGCAGGTTCCCGGGCGGATGCAAATCGTGAAAGATAAAACCACAAGAGAACTGTCTTTTTCCTTCTTGTGGGAAAAATCCCTACAACTTCAACAAGAAGAAGCTTCTCTCTCCAGAAGTGAACTGAAAAAGACTAAATTGGGCACTGACCGAAGTATTTGTTATATGTTTGTTTTGTTGTTATGAAGATTGGGAGAGGGAGGGAAGAAGTGATCTGAAAAATCTTATTCTGAAATTTTTTTTTCCTCTCTTTTTGTTTGTGTAGTTAATAAATTTTATTTTATACTCTCTCAAGTTTTAGGCCTGCCTTGCTCTTTTGCTCCTGGTTCTGTCTCACAACAGAAAAAATAAGTTTATTCAAATTAGCAACTCAAACCCAAGACATTAATTTGGTGCATTGGCCGGGAAAGTCAAAATTAAACCAAGACAAACACCCATCCTCATTGGATGGCAAGGCTGTTTCCACTCTTTGGTAATTAGTACAGCTGTACTTTATCAGGAGAGGTTGCCTTCAGCACTATCCTTACAAATCATCCTCCCACACGACCCTGCCTTGTCAGGGGATATTGGACTAGATGACCTTCAGAAGTCCCTTACAACCCTAGTAGTTCTGTAATTCTGTAAGAAAACAAGGACAGTATAAGTTATTCAATTTCAAAAGAGAATATTTGGTTTGTGTTCCTAGAAAAAGTAAAAATGGCCATTGCCAATAAACAACCTTTGTTCTGGTCAGCCACATGTCCATCTCAACCAGCTGGCCATAACCAGCAAAAACCTCACTGAGGGCTCTTTTGTACAGGCAGTGAAATCGGACAAATTCCACAACACCTTCCAGCTCTAACTAAAAAAAAAAAAAAAAAAAAAAAAAAAAAAGCAGGCAAACTTGTTACTGGTTATAACATATTGTTGCACGCACATCTTGCCACTTCTTACTGGTAGCAGGTAACAGCATTTGTGCTGAGACTAAGGCTGGGTAACATATAGTTTAATTTTTGTTCACTTAAAGCTCTATTTATGACATCACTGTACCACACTATTAAGACAAACAAAGGGAGAGAGATTATCATGAGGACTCTACAGGTCTCGTGAGAGTGAACCCAGGGTAAGAGATGCCCCCAATTAGCATGATGAAGATGTAAACAGACTGAGGAAAAAATAGGAGAAGAAGGTACAAAACACAGTGATAAAATCAGAGTTAACTCGGGGCTACACTGAACTTAGTCTATTGATATTTCAGTTTAAAATAAGCGTTTTGGTGAGAGGAGTGTAAGCTTTGTAGGGTACAGTGCTGTGCCAGCACCTGGGATTTCATCCAAACCTTATCCAGACATTTGGTGTAATCTTGCATTACACCGAACAACTTTAAACCTTTCCTATAACCTGAGTTTCTCTGAGGCTGCTCCTTCTCTGCTTCCCAATCATGTTGTGGTAACAAATCCACTGTCAAGAGGAAGATGTTCAACAGCTGGTAAAAGCCAAGTAAGAGCAGAAAACATGATCACCAAAACAGTTGTGTGGCAATCTCAGAATTTTAATTCAAATTTCCTTAGGCAGGTAGAGATCCACAACGGCTACACATTAAATACATCATGCTTTGTTCAGTTTGGTCACAAGATCAGTGCTCAGGAGAGAAGGCTGACATGGAAAGGCCCTTAGCTTGGAGAGACACAAGCATCGCTGCAGATGTCAGAGTGCTGCAGCCCGGTGTGTGCACAGGACTGAACAGGAGTGCCAGCAAAACTGCATGTGGGGCCTGAAGAGCTGGAAGGAGCACCAGGAGGTCAGTGAAGACCCATCCCTCTCTGGTTTCAAAGACAGCAGGATGTCCAGTGTGGGGGACAATGACTGGCAAAGTATTACACATCAAAACATGCACCTGTGAGTGAGACAATGCATACAGCAATCACGGCAGATGAATTCTTTATGGCTGACCACACACAGCCAAGGAAATAAAGCACCTCTAGCAGCCACACTTTGAAACATTGCTGACAAACAACATGGGAAAAGGTCATCACCTTTACCTGAAAACAGTTGGTATACAGATGAATATTATACACACTAAATACTGAGATAAAACTTCCATTAAGCTCAAGAGCCTGGGTATGTGAGAAGGAAGGGCAGAGCATTTTAATCTTTTTCCTGATATCTGTGTCATGACAATTAACTGCCCTGTCACTCCTCTTTGCTGCCCAGTTCTCTTCACTGTTCAACGAGGTGACTGGTGCAGCTAACTCAGCAAAGACATTTTTACCCTGTCTTCTTCTGAAACAAAAGGCACAAAATATCCCTCAGCATGGGTTTCTCCCAGTATTTCCTTCATTTATTCCTTCTGTTCTTTCTGTCTTCAGGCTTCCTTAAAAATGTAATTCCTATTTCTGTCACAGCATCGCCCTTCAGCCTGTCCTGGAGGAAGGAAACTTCTGCTGCTAAGTGAACCTAGAAAGAATCAGATCTGGTTAGTTCAGAAAAGAAATGCCCACTTTTCCACCCTCCTCCGGTATAATGAGCTTTTTTTCTCTCTCTTACCACAAGAGGACACCCTTTCTCAGGTTTCATAGGAAACAGATATCTAGATTGTTTTAAAATAATTTTCCCAACTAAGCTAACACAAAGGAAGTTTATAGACACTGGAATTTGTATAGCACATAACTCTTCTTCCCAGTGCTCTGCTTTCTTCTGAGACCCTGAATTGCATGCTTGGTGATTTTGTGATTACAGAATTTCCTAGTCATATACTAAGACTTATGATATAATACTTTTGTTAATTAGTCTTGTATCTGATACTATAATTCTGAGACTGATGTATATACATAACACTGCAGGGTTGAGTTTTTTGTCTCTTGAAATATAAGATACATGCCAAATTGGATACTGACAGAAACACAAAGCAGCCCAAAAGTAATCTTTCTGAAGAAGCTCTACAGGTCAGAAATTTTCAAATTACGCCTTTTATTTATTTATTTGCAAAACCCTTAAATTTAGAAACAAAATTTGGATTGCCATCTGATACACTTCTGATGCTTAAGTTTTAACATTATACTTATCCACATTTTGTTCTCTCTTTTAGCAGGTACCATTGTAACCTGAGAATATTATTTATCTTGATATATTTGGAAAGAATCTGGGATGACTGTTACTGCCTACAGCTGTGCAGGGAAGTGTGATAGGCTCCAGGAGCAGTGGAGGAGCCCAACATGTCCCTCTGTCCCTCCACTTTAAGTGTTACCCAGCTTCCTGATCCCACCTGGCTTTTGCACCCAAGTCAGCCACTGAACAGACTGAATAGCCAGGCAGAGACAGTGTGGAGGTGAGCTAAACCATGTGCTTCTCTACCTCAGGATCCAGGATCAGCCTTGTCTTCTTTTATCTAGATATAGACATTTAACCCGAGAGGTTAAACAATATTGTGTTTCCTACTTATATCTGAACAAGTGATTTTGTTTTCCTGTGCTTCTGTGAATTAACAAAAAATGGATAAAACAGATGTGCACTTCTTTACCATTTCCAAGGCACCTCGAATCACCCCACAGAGGAGGTTACAATAGCAAAGTGATGCTCGTTCAGCTGGCAGTTCCTCCACAAAGTCCACTAGTGGGTTTTTATCCAGGATTAAGGAGAATTCGTTCCCTGCGGCACTACAGCAGCTCACACTAGGGGTGACCCCAAGGTACATCTTGAAAGCAACCTGCAAAAGAACGAAACTCTGCTGCTTAAATGTGTTGCGTGCAAGCCAGAGGTGAAACTTTAGAAAGCAGAATCCCATAGACCAATTTTGCCCCAAGAAAAAAGGGAGTAGAGCCAGTCAAGCTAGAAATCAAGGTACATTTGTCTCTTCTGTGATCAGCTTGAGCCAGCAATGCAAATCTAGAGCTATGCGATGCTCCAGGAAAACACAGCAGAGAGCTGCTCCTCTTTGATGTTCCTACATTTACAACCCCACACAAAGTGGTTTTGCTGTTATCTTTTGTCTGCTTTCAGTCTGCTTTCAGTCATGTCATACTCCCTTGGGACCATTAGCATCTATATTATGTCATTCACTACCTCACCGACAGCTTTTATAGTCACAGCTCAAGATCTCCTGCAACTGGCCGAGTGTGTGTGGTTTCTTTTAACTCTGATCTCCATCCGCAGCCACTTAGAAAAACAGGCCACCAAGAACAGGACTTCTAAGACTGTAAACGTCTTGGTTACACAGAGCACTGCTGGCTTTCTTCCCACCAGCGCTGAACGCTGCTGTGGATGTGCCACATTGCCGTGCCAGCGGCGCGGTCCCCAGCGAGCGCCGCTCTCCATCCAGCCGTGACATCACGGCGTTATCCCGGCAGGGCGTGGGCGGGCGGGATGCTCCTCCTCGGCAGAGCTCTGCCCTGCTGCACGCCGCTGCCAGCCGGGAGAAACTGCCTTGATTTGCACCTCCTTAGTGAGTATCAGACATGGATGCTTTCCAAACAATCCTCAAGTTCTTTATGAACCGGAAAACCGCCATAGGTTACAGTTTTATGGCGCTGCTGACAATGGGAGGTGAACGTGTGTTTTCTCTTGTTGCTTTCAGATGCCCTTGCAGCAGTGAAAACTTCAGGTACGGTTTGGTGTTCCTCTTCTCGCCAGCCCTTGTTTTGCTGGTTATTGGATATTTCTTGAACAGCAAGACCTGGAAACTCTTTACAGGCTGCTGGGTGAATCCCAGAAAAATATTCCCCAGAGGCAATGTCTGCCATTTCTTTTACGTCTTTGGACAAATCACTTTAAATGCTCTGGTAGCCCCAGTGATGTGGCTTTCCGTGGCTTTGCTCAACGGGACTTTTTACGAATGTGCCATGAGTGGCTTGGAAAATCCCGCCTACTTACACGCAGTTTGTCACAGAAAATCGGAGAACTGCTTTGAAGAGCTACACAAGGTACCCTGTGACAAAAGCTCCCTACCCTTTCCAGAGAGTGACGAACTGAAAAGAACACTTCAAGCACAGTCCCAGGTAAGAAAAATTATAAACAAAGAGCATTATCCAGATTGTACTGCTGCTGTGATTTATCTGTGGAAGATCCTGATGTCAGATGTGATGTTAAAACCGTTGGCTTCATGTAAACAATGTTTTGGCAGCCTTCCAAAATATAATCAATCCATCTTTTGGTTCAGTTTGACCTGTTCCATATTTCTTAGGGGTCCCCACTGGTGCTGGGGTCAATAAGATCAGAAAACCAAAAGCTTTCTTCCTGAATGGAGATTGCTCTAAAGAGGAAAAAAAACCAAACCCCGACTGGATTGTTTAGGAGGCTGAATTAACAGATGTCACCCCATTAAAGCGGTCTGTCCTATTAAAAAATTCATGCCACACTCTCCTATTTTAAATCGTGATAACTCTAGGGAAATTTTAGGTCACTAACAGCAGAAAAATACTGGAAGATAAGATTTGTGAAATATCTTTTGACTGCTTACATAATGTGTTTCTATTTGTGTTCCTCATTTTCATGCCAAATGTGAGCATGTTTTTGTCCTGCTTGGAGGAAGTGAGAAACAATAAAGAAAGCAGATAATGAAAAGCTGAGATCTTACTACATTATACAATATTTGTGCTGTGCAGTTTTACTCTCTGCATTGTATTGCAAATAAATTCAGAGGCAAATAAATCAAAACGGTGGAGAGAATAAAATAAAATGTTACAGAAAAGGGAAAAGACTGTGAAGCCAGCGAGCTTTTGTCAGGAATTGCATCCATCTGGAACTATTTCCTTTCCAAGAGCTGATTTAATTTTCAAGTCCTCATGCAAATAAGACAAAGGCTGCACTGCAGAGAAAGCTATTTATTTTGATAGTTTTAGAAGACAACAATAGATAGTGCTCAAGACTTTAAATTGTATGTATAGGAAATAGTGAAAGACCAGGGATTCAGTTTTAGCATGAGAATATACGAGTTCATTTTCCAAGCTGCAAGAAAATGAAAAATTGCTAAAAAAGAGCAATTTCTCTT